TTTTAAAAAACAAAAAAATAATCTCATCTCAAATTCAAATAATTCTTATCATTCTATTTTCTAAAATGGTCCGCATTTTATAAAAAATTATGCTATGTATTCAAACTCAAACTAACTGCATTCGATTCAGATATTAATCATAGAAAAATATTTTCGTAATTGTTTGAACATATCTAAATGTTGTAATAATATTTTCACTGTCATTTTATTTCTTTACATAAATTTTCTTTCTTTTTTAGTTTTAAGATACAAATTTAATTTTTGTAAAATTACCTATATTAGAAATTTATTTAGTCATTTAAAAATTTTATTTTTTATTATTGTTTTATTTTTCATAAGCAAGACTTCAATTTCCTGGTATCATCCATAATTTGAGCATTCGCATCATAGTTTTAAGAACTTTCTAATCTCAAATTCAAATAGCCTTTTCTTTTAATTTCTAATAGTAAATTTCTAATAATTAACATAATTTTGCTATTTTTTTAATCTAATATATAGTCTTATTACATTTTATGTGGCTTTTCATTAACTTAGTAAATTTATTTAATATCATTATCAACTACTTTTCTTTAATAATATAAGATAAATATATAATTCTTTTAATTATGAAAATAAATATTTATTTTGTTTTAAAAACATTGCTCGAAAATTTTAAATTATTTAAAATTTAATAATACTTTTAAGTATTGTATATTTATTTTATTTTATTTTCTAAACTTATGATTTGTAAATGCCCTTACATTATCTCTAATTTATTCTAGACATGGCCTACGATGGTTATTTGGAGATGCCATGAGGTAAAAGGTGTTCCGGTAGAATATATTAGGGTGATTAAGAATATGTATGATAGAATAAAGATTAGGGTCGAGATAGTGGGAGGAGACTCATAACATTTTCCGGTTGTTATGGGGTTATACCAAGATCTGCGCGTAACCCGTTCTTATTTGCCCTGACGATGGATACACTAACACACCAATGGCGAATCTAGGAATTTTCCCAATGGGTGTTCAAACTTGAAAGAAGTCAAATATA